TAGATGATTGAATCTATTGACATGGGTCACTTTTGACCTAGTCATTGTTCTGCATGTTCGGTACTCTAAAGGTTAACACATTGTTAACTGACTAAGAATATTTATGTTTGCTCGTATGCGATTATTAAAGTACAATTTTTTTAAATTGTTATTATTCGATTATTTATATCGTATACACATATACTGATATTCTTTAACAGAGAGATATGAACTACGTCGTGAAACATGTTAGATACGACATCTCCTTTTTAGCAAAACTGGTAATAAAGTTAATGGTTTAAGTATGAGAAATATCTTGGATGTGTTTTATAGATAATACAAACAAGGAATGCTAAAGAGATAAAGTTGATTTATGTAAAATACAAAATCACTGTGACGTTTCTTAAATTGATATCGTCGATTATTATTAAAATTATATCACAGATATTGTCTAAATCATTATGATTTTACGTAATTTTACACATTCTTTTTGAAAAGAATTTAAGAATTTCATAGCTTTTTTTTTTATGCAAAGAGATAGAAAATATTTTGGCATATTTAATTTTTATTCAATAGATTTTAATTCTTTTTAATACACATATTTATTTGTTACATGTATTATTATAAAAAAATTATTATAAATATACTTATAATTGTATAATTTTTGAATTGAAATTAGAAAAATTATTTATTTTGTTGATTCATTTATTCATTTTTCAATTTATTCTTTCATTTTGAGACAATCAATTTCATTAAATAATCAATATACTTAGAAACATATATCTTTATTATAAAATATATTTTCTCAAAGCTTTATACAATACAAAATTGTTTAATATCTTGATTCTAACGGGTGTGATATATTTGCAGCAAATTCAACTTTATATATTTGAAATGCTTGCGTAATTACGAGTCTAACAGGAATTAAACTGCTATGTTAATGCTTTCCTGTCCGCTTTTATCAATTCTTGGCTTTCTTCTTTCTCTACGCTGGAATATCCGTGGCTAGCGAACGTGTGTACCGCAGAATTTCAGTGAGTTTATCGGCAGCGAAGTTACGATAATGTTTTCTGGTCAGGTGGAAGCAGACCGCTTTGCGCTTCTCTACAAGGCCAACAACAGTAGTAAAATAATGAAATTATATTTAACATTTTACATCAGTTTTCTTTTTATTATTATTTGTATCAAATAGTGTCTAAATAAAAATTTATTAAATTGATACATGATGAAATATTTTTCAACGTTTGAATTCGATGGAATAATATTAAATTATAATGGATTTTGTCATTAATGATGATCAATCACATTATAAAAGAAATTTATCATAAATATATTTATATAATAAAAATATTAAAATTTGATTATTGGTTGTTACGAATAATCAAATTATTAAAAATTGGATATTTGAAAAATATACAGATATTGTCGTAAAATTAAGTAATAATTAAATTAAAAAAATTTTTAAATTCAATTTTCTCAAAATTTCAATTATTAAACTCTTTGTATTCTTGACGAAATATTTCGCAAAGCGAGAACAGAAACAAAGAAAACAGAAATAAAGAAAAATTTATTTTTAAAAATAAAAATATATTCTAGCATTAGTGATTTCTTTGAACGATATCCGTTTTTTAATGAAAAGATACACGAGATATCTCGCTTAAAGCATCATACAAACGACATTACATCGCGAGATAATTTCATAGATGCGAAAGGGTTGAACAATTTTATTCGATATTTTCGATTCCATGTAGAATTGCTTCATGTTTTTCCACGTAGAATTATCTTATTCTCGATTGTATCACTCATCGCGGAACGTCCTGCATAAGTAAATAGAGAAATAACTAGATAAGTTATCAAGATAAATTTATATTCATATAATGCGTTAAAAGCTTTTACTCATAAAATTGTTAATTTAATCATCGAAGAAATCTTGAATACCTTTCAAGAATTCAATAAAACCTAAAATATCGTTTATTCAGAAAATTGTTTCGTCATTATCTATGTAAAAATTCAAAAATTTAGAAAATTATAATATTATAATTTTTAAATAATAAATTTGATAAATTTAGAAAATGATTAATCAATTATTGCAAGAATCAAACGAATAATACAAATAATCAGAAATTTTTTTAAAATATCGATAGGAAAAGAATTAAAGAAAAATGATTAAAAATAAAAAAGAAAAAAGACACGAACAATGTATTAAACATCGAACAGTCGAACTAAACAATAAAATGAAATAAACTTTGTTACTCCATGCTAGAATAAAACTTTTTTATTAGCAAGATTAACAAAATGGCAATGTCATCACAATAGAAGGCGCGCTCTCTAGGCGACAATTGAAATTACAATGTTCCCATGACGTTAAGGATTTTTATTTAATTTATCATTACGAGTTAGAGAATTCTTGAAACTTGAAAAATCTTTTTCTTTGTTTCGATGCCATCTCTTGTGCATCTTTTAATATTAGATCAACGATCTCTTTACGATCGTTATAGCCAACGTGGTACCATCCAGCTGCGCAAGGATCAACGATCACCGACGAGAGGACCCAACTCCATTCAGCAACAAATGTAGCGGTGCTTGCACTACCGCCGGTCATGTCTTGTTCAACACGCCAGCGAGATACTTTATTGCTGATAATTCGAGGCTGGTCCCGCGAGAGACGTGGTGAAGTACGCCATTTACATTCCTGTCGTGATCACAAATGCATTTTATACACCGGCTAATATTCTGCCCGATCGCGTGGGCTAGATAGACGGGGATATACTGGGTGCTTCAAGTATACTAGGAAGTTTGACACGTTCAACTTGTATGTCTTAAATCTGAATTGACTCATGTACTTACACACATATATATATATATATATATATATATATACACTAAGATGAAGAAGAAGATAAAAAGACAAAATATTTTTCTTTATATTATAAAAAAGTTTTTTATAATATTCTTTAATATTTTTATATAATTTTATTGTTTTTATCCGAATTGTTAAAATTTAATTCGTAAAAATTTCAAGAATTAATTAGTTTTTTTTTTTTCATATATATTTCGGGTATATTTCAATTTCGGTAGATCTAAAAATCACTAGGAAAATTTATTAAAATGTTACATAACCTTAACCTTCATACGCATAATATTACTTGTTATACGTAAAAATGAAAATTTATAAACGATATAACAAATTTTATTAGCACGACACTGTTATAAATGCTATTTAAAATTTGCGCAACTAAATAATCTACGTATATACAAATTCTCTTCACGCATAAAGGATATTACATTTAGATTTTTAGCTTTTTCTCTAAGATAATTTGCCAACATTATTTCGCAATTGATGACAGGATACCATGTACTTTTAAAAAGCTCCCGTTCGCGAGCATGTTTAATTTGTTTCACGATCGTTCCACTGAAATTATAGCAAGCCGGGATCAAAAGTTACTAAATTTACGACTCGTTACTCCAACGGTCAGCATATATTAACTAGTCGCAGCGGGCAACTCTGAAGCGCAACAGCCACCCGTCGTGGCCGAGCAAGGTGTAATGCAAGAATCGATGCGCCATAATCGAGCCCAGTGCTTTTTGATTTAACAGCGCACCGTCCCCTTAATGAACGACGCGCCTCCTTTCGCCTCTTTTAAAAACCAGTAGCGGAACTTTTTGAGCCGCGATCGGGTTACCCAAGATCGTTCACTCGGCGAACAAGAGCCGGGGAAATTTTTTTTATTGTGATACTCCCGTCATCGATTACCAAGGCCGACGATATAACGCGATTATTCCAAAATGAGATCGTGGTTATTTGATTTGAATAACAATGTTTTGCATCTTGAAGATAAATAGAGAGATTAATAAATTTTGAATATTGCAGAGAGAGAGAGAGAGAGAGAAAGAAGAGTTGGTATTAACCCAACTTTAAGTAGAAAAATAACTAGTAATGTTATTCGTAGCTAACAGTTGATCCACATAACCTCAACCATTCGATGTCACCATTTAAGATTTGTGGTTATGCTTTGAATAATACATTATTGAAATAACTTTATTCTTAACCTCAACTATATTGACTATAAGATAAGATAAGGAGAAAAATTCGAACGATCGTTAATAGGATTGTCCAAATTTATTTAATTAGCGTTATAATCGATTGTTAAATCGTCTAAGTTAAAAAAAGTGGCCACGATTGAACCACGAGGATTAATTCGAATGTTGAAGATTCTATTCTTATCTCCTTTTTCTGTGAATCAGAATAAATTGTATAGTTCAAATCAATAATAGGTGTCTCCCAACATTCAATTAAGAGTGGCATATCTGTATTGCAATCAAGACGAGGATCCAATCATAAATACAATATTGTCGTTATACTTCTACTCATCAGCACAGGCACAGTTCTCGTGTCACTGTAGCGTAACAGTGGAAAATGAAAAGTTATAGTCGTTTACCGGTCGTAACTCAAGCCTGTAGTTTCTGTTAACCAGTCGTCGTGCAGCTCGCGAATCCCCAGAATCCCGTGTGCAAGAAACCGAGAGGGACTCTCGGCGAGTCGCTTCAAGGAGCAAGCAAGGTGTAATGTCGAATCGATGTACCATAATCGTCCGGACTTAGGTGTCTTTCGTTCCAAGCCGAGTCTACGGCGTGCTTGCAACCCACGGAACTGGTATACACATATTATAGTACGCGTGCTCATGTACTCATTTCGTATACCGGGTGAGGCACTCGATGCTTATCGTTTCGATTATTTTTCTCTGGTGAAATGGATTTTCAGAGTTCTTCGTGATTCCCCGAGATACGAGATACGGGAAAAATGTGAGAATTATTTACTCACGCGTATTTCGAATGATGGATTTTTAAAACTTTGACATCACGTTTTCCTCCTCTTCGTATATAATTGTAATATTTGAAATATACAAATGTTCCTGTAATTCCCTTTCGTTTCGATCGTTTATATTTATATTTAATCGATAAAAATGATGACGAGACGATTTGACGCATAATATTTATACAAGATCGAAATTACTTTGCAGGCAAGATGGCGGCCTGCAGCGGCTTACTCATTATTCTGCGATTACTTCTCATCGTCGTGGCGTCGACCGTGCCAGGAACATGGATGTGAGTATTCATTTCCCCTTAAAATTACCAACATGTTAAAATTAAGTTTCCTATATATAGGGTAAGTATAAAAATTCCACCTAAGGGAATAATTCCGCGTGAAATTCTGTATCCCACGGAAAATTACATAATTACTCTCGGGTGTTATCTTCAGGAGAAACAAATCGAATGGACACGGCCAGCCTATCAAACGACGATAATCGATAAATTAATATGTCGCGAGGAGAAAGGCCTCGATTCTTTACCCTCATCAAATTCCAGCAAAAATTGCCCACGCAACAACTGCCGTAATTTATAGCTCTTTGTACATACACCGAGACGAAATCACGTCGTGGGAACACGATCGAAGGATTTTTCATACCGTTCCATTCCTCTTTCCCGGCCATATCCCCGCCAACGGTGTGTCTAATTTCTGAATCGAGCCTAGTCGCCCCTAAATTCCACCCTTGCACGCCCATGACAAATCATTGAATGGTCCCGAGATCGGGATACGAGTTTTTCATCGAAATGGAATTTCCCTTTTATGCCCTTTTATGCCCTGCAATCGTCGATTTTAGAAAAATCATCGAGGTGATCTGATCTGATCAACGTTCGCCTCTCTTTGAATCTTTTTTTCTAAATTTCTTCTTTTATTCTTCTATTCTTTAATCATAGATTATGGAAAGTTTATTATAAGATATTTATCAGTTAACTAGATCTAAGCACACATGAGATGTGGAATAATAAAAAATTGTTTTGGAAAATGAAATGTCGTCCAAGTAAATTTAATATTGAAAATTAATTTTTTTGTAAATTTCTTCTTAATTCTATTCTTTAATCATAGCTTATGGAAAGTTTATTATAAGATATTTATCAGTTAACGAGATCTAAGCACACATGAGATGTGGAATAATAAAAAATTGTTTTGGAAAATAAAGTCCAAGTAAATTTAATATTGAAAATTAATTTTTTTGTAAATTTCTTCTTAATTCTATTCTTTAATCATAGCTTATGGAAAGTTTATTATAAGATATTTATCAGTTAACGAGATCTAAGCACACATGAGATGTGGAATAATAAAAAATTGTTTTGGAAAATAAAGTCCAAGTAAATTTAATATTGAAAATTAATTTTTTTGTAAATTTCTTCTTAATTCTATTCTTTAATCATAGCTTATGGAAAGTTTATTATAAGATATTTATCAGTTAACGAGATCTAAGCACACATGAGATGTGGAATAATAAAAAATTGTTTTGGAAAATAAAGTCCAAGTAAATTTAATATTGAAAATTAATTTTTTTGTAAATTTCTTCTTAGTTCGATTCTTTAATCATAGATTATGGAAAGTTTATTATAAGACATTTATCAGTTAACTAGATCCAAGCACACATGAGATGTGGAATAATAAAAAATTGTTTTGGAAAATAAAGTCCAAGTAAATTTAATATTGAAAATTAATTTTTTTGTAAATTTCTTCTTAATTCTATTCTTTAATCATAGCTTATGGAAAGTTTATTATAAGATATTTATCAGTTAACTAGATCCAAGCACACATGAGATGTGAAATAATAAAAAATTGTTTTGGAAAATAAAGTCCAAGTAAATTTAATATTGAAAATTAATTTTTTTGTAAATTTCTTCTTAATTCTATTCTTTAATCATAGCTTATGGAAAGTTTATTATAAGATATTTATCAGTTAACTAGATCCAAGCACACATGAGATGTGAAATAATAAAAAATTGTTTTGGAAAATGAAATGTCGTCCAAGTAAATTTAATATTGAAAATTAATTTACTAAAAAAATATTGGAATTAAATGATGGGTGAACACTTTTAATCACTGATGGATGTAATCTCTAGTATTGCAGCTTCTCATTTTCAAAAAAATGACGGTAATAGATTTTGATCGATGATAAATGATCATTGGCCCCATCCAGTCATTACAGCGGCCTTCTTCTTCTTCTTCTAAATCCCTTTGCCCAACCGATCGTGAAAATGCCTAATCACATGGGCGGGACTCAAAGGATCTCCATAAAAGTTAATCCTTCTTATATGGGCTTAACTTGAGAACCCGATGGATTTAATCTCGCCCCCTTAATTTTATCTTTACCACGGTCTAATTAGATCTAGAATTTTTAAACGATCCTCCAAAAAGCTTTTAATAAATATACACTTCCAAATCCAGGTTATGTACGTTATACAGATAACATTCGAACAACAATCTTGCTTCTTAGCTTGGAAAATTAAAAATCAAAGCCACGTTTCCTACTCTAATCCTTTGCCACGAAACATTAACATTATACGAATTATACAATTTTGAAACAATTGGATGTTCAACTTGATCTTTATATTTTTTAATAAACTGACCAATTAATTATAAATAATGTACCATTACTCATTATTCTGCGACTTCTCATCGCCGTGGCGTCGACCGTGCCAGGAACATGAATGTGAGTATTCATTTCCCCTTAAAATTACCAACATCTTAAAATTAAGTTTCCTATATATCCCTAGATACGTTAAAAATTCCATCTAAGGGAATAATTCCTCGTGAAATTCTGTACGAATTTTTCATCGAAATGGAATTTCCCTTTTATTATCCTTTCATGCAATCGTGCAATTTTCTCTTTTTTTTGTAAATTTTTTCTTCTATTCTAATTAATTTATTCTTTAATTCCTTCATTTGTAAAGTGTAAAAATTTAAAACGAAGGAAAGCGAATGTGAGAGATCGTAATATATTAGAACGAAATTCTTCATGGACGATGGATTTCGTTCCCAGCAAAATATCATCAATTATTAATAATCGGTTATTAATAAGCGTTATATTTAAAATTAACGATGCGAACTTATGATCGGGAGTGTACACTGGTTTAACAAGAATTCTAGCATGAATATATCGTTCCATTCACTGCATACGATACACTTAAATCAACCGGCGAGCCGAGATTTTACAAAAGCAAATTAATTACACACGTGGCCGGGACGCGATATACCGTAACTTGTGCAAAGTCGTCGTTGTGTCCACGCACGATAAAGCAATTTTCTCGAAAAAATTCCACGTTACTCTCTCGCTTAATCTACGCCCCGGTATCTACGTAACAACCCCTTAAGTCAAGACTAAGAGCCGGCATCCAGATTAGATTCCGGATCCAGGCGCCGATCGCACGTGTGTTTAAGTCGACGAACGAATTGATTCACACCAGGCCATTTCCAGCCAACATTATTCCTCCCATGAATCGGGGCGATATCGAAATATCGTATGGATTAAAGGGCTGTCCCCACGAGATGTTTTTCTCTCTCCCATATCAGAGTGAAAAGTGTGGCATCATTGTTGGCCACGCGTTGCTTCAACGCTTTTCTACACTGTCTAAACGTCGGTGTAATGGAACAGGATACAGAATAAAGATAGAAATAATAAATAAAAATAGAATTATTATTTTCGAAGCGAATAATCGATCCGATCGAACGTGAGAAATAACTTCTGATTAATTTTTTTTTTTGAGAAAGAGAGGGGGAGAGAGAGAGAGAGAGAGAGAGAGAGAGAGAGAGAGAG